GGGTTTTTAGGGTTTTTAGGGTTTCGACTCCCGCACTCGCTCAAGGCTGGCTTGGTGTTCGAAGGTCTGAGCTTCGTATGGGGGGACATCCCAAACATGGAAGGGTTTAGGGTCTAGGGTTCCGTAAGTCCTAAGGTAAGGTGCCGTAAGAGTTTCCTCCACTTTTTCTATAGGTTTTGCTGTCCTGCAACCTACACGAGTGCTACAAACGTTCTGCGAAGGTTTAACAAAGTAAAGGCTGTTTGTATACTTACGGTTTCTGCCCCCGAAGGGCCTCGGATAGAATGGTTATAAAGGGACATAGGAATCAAATCAGGGTTTTTAAGGGTTATATCAGTTAGGGTCCTATGACCTATGAGTATGAGGGTCCTATAATTTATTGAAGCGTTTTTCTGTAAGGGCGTTATGAGGGTATTGCAAGAGTTCTATCTAGCAAACTGGGGGGGGGGGGGTGGCGTAAGGGCTCTATGATGTCATTGCAGGGCTCTACAGGGGCTCAACCTTAAACGAAGAGCCGATATAAGGAGTAGATAACCCCGTGCGACTCTACGACTGTACCGTTCCTTGTCATTTTTCGAATGACATGCTGAGACCAAGTGTGCATATGCTTTAGAGCTTGGGCTGGCCGGCTTCAAGCACAGAAGGCCGTCTGATTCTTGTTGAGATTTCGCATGCGGATGTCAATGTCCTTCTTCTTCACTCATCACGCGTGTCCTCCTGCCATGTTCCTCTTGTCAGCAGATTGCTTCTCCGGTCCTTGCCCCTTGAACACGAAGCATCGAGCACTGCTTTATTGGCCCAGGCCAGTTATACGTAGGGTTAGATTCGATTTGGATAACTACAGGCTGTACTTTAATAACTCTGTTGAGGTTTTTAGAGCCGTATTATTATGCCTGTAATTAACCTTGGTGAACCCGGCGTCTTGGCGGCTCGAGAAGTGCGACGTACCTTAAGTAGGGCTTGCAAGCAGTAGCCACCCCCCTTGGCTCACGCAAAAGCCCATGTGCACTTGTTCCGACGGCTGCGCTGCACCGGTGGCAAGCCAGGACACAGCCCGGGGCGCATGGGGTTTCGGTATCTCTTCTGGCAAATCAGCGGTCCGAGACTCGCTGCCGGAGGGGCTTTGTGTTGTTTTGCGCAAGCACCGCGAAGCCCTTCATTCGATTTGGTGTCTTGAAGTCGCTGTCGGATTTGGAGGACAGCCGGATGGAATCCGTGGCCCTACAAGACCTTAGGGTCGGTTTCGACGAGGGGGGTACAGGTGAGGCTGGCACTCCTGGGGAACATATTGAAGTCCGGCCGCGACAGACCTTTGCGAGCATGGCCATGGTGACGGAAGCGACGGAGAACCTGGAGGCCTGTCGAATTCCTATAGGGGCCTAAACAATTAATGGGGCTTCCTTATTATAATGATAGTATAATGGGCCCCCAAAGCCCTATTCTAATTATTAAGGCCCCTATATTAGCAGCATCAAGAAGAGCAGTGAGGATCTCCCGGCTTCAGGCGAGGATCAAGGCGCGGAACACCCGATCACAGCTACTGGACTGGCCGTCGGTGGAGGAAGGTTTTTGGCCACATCTGCGCTTCCATTGCCGCCGTTTTCGTCGATGCAGTCGGGTTCGAAGGCCTCGTTTCCACGGTGATCCTGGTGAACTCAGTACTGATCGGTTTGGAAACAGAGACTGGGGCCTTGTGGAGAGATTTCGTTTGAGTTACCTGGGTTTCCTCATTATGATGCCTTTAACCAAGGTATCTGCTTTCATTAATATATCCTACCATGGTACCTCATCTGACACCAAGATACCCAACAAGAATCCAGGAGAGGTCTTCGAAGCGTGGTGCCGAGATGGCCTTTCTCGTCATCTACACTGCGGAGACCCTTGGCCGCTCCGTTGCGCAGCCGTGTCTCAGCAGAGTGAGTGCGCTTTGACCCGTCCTCTTTGTTGTACGTTATGAACTGCTCAGACAAATCCCAAAGGCAAACACTAGATCCACACCTAAGGTGGGCTTGCTTACGAGATGGGTGGTTCCTCTTTGACTTCTTCTTGGTGCTCGGGGCTTGCGCAGGGCAGCTGGCACTTGCAGGGACGCGAGAGTCGGCCGAAGAAATCATGGTCTTGCGGCTCCTGCGCTTAATGCGGCTAGCTCGCAGTGTTCGCATGATCAAGCAGATTCGATCGATTTTTCGGCTCGTTTACGGACTGATCAATGAAAGCAAGGCACAGGTGGAGAAGATGATTTCGCCACGAATGATCAGTGACTGATCACTTGTGGCGAACCATCTTCTCCACCTGTGCTTTGCGTTCATTAGTCATCTATGTTTTCGGCGTGCTTGGTGCTGAAATCATCGCAAGCAACCCAGAACTCAAGGCCAACCCTACGACCGGCCCGATCATCACAAAGCACTCTTCCTCGTTGGGCATGACTGATGATGTTGTCGCAGTTCGTTACAATGGACTCCATTGCTTCTGTCTACCAGCCTCTGATCCTCGAGGAGCCTCCGCTGCTCCTCTACTTGCCTGTCGGGGCCATCGTGTCCATCGCGCTCATGAGCTTGATCACGGCTGTGGCTCGTGGAAGGGGCACCCGAGAGTGCGCGACGAGATCCTGAAGAGGAGCGCAAGATGGAAACCAGCACCACGAAGCAGATGCTGCCAGAGATCGTGAGACACCTTCGACACGCTCGACGCAGATGGGAATGGCGAGATCGACATCGAGGAGATGGCCCGCTTTGATAGGCCAGGCACAGGAGGGGGCAGTGGCATCAACCGCCGGATCTTGGACCGTGCTGCGCTGGACAGCATGGCGTTTGGATGTGGACAGCTCTGGGCGGGTCTCTCGCGTGGAGTTTGAGGAAGGATTGCTGAGCATCTTCCTTCGTGGGGTACCTGTGCCGTCACTGCCTGAACGCTTGCCGAGAATAATCTGGAGCTACTTCTCGCTTGGCGGTAATGTAGGAACCTGATTAAGAAACCCTGGCCCTATAACCATCTATAACCCCAGAAGATTAGGATTCATATAAGGAACTCTAAAAAAACTAACCCAAGGTTTCTTCATCAGGTTCCCAAACTACCCCCGGTTTGAGACTCGGAGCTAGGTCCAAGCCCCCGCCAACATTGCTTAAAGGATCCGAGAGGCTGCTGAATCTGAGTTACCCGATACCCAACCTTTAAACTTTTTGGGCTCTTATAATTTTAATAGTGCTCTGAAAGTTGAATTGTCTTTTATTTCCCTGGCTTGTTGGGGAAGTAGGGAATGAAACCACAGGAAACCATCACAACTTATCTATAACCTACTTGCTGGGCACCCGCTGCTCCGTTAAGTATCAGAGCTGTATAGACTGCTATGGAGGGGGAAGAGACAAGGGTAGCAGCTATAGTTTGGATGTGCCGCTGCTGGAAGAGAGAAGCCCCGGGCTGTTCTCGTGGTGGGAGATGGTCGGAAAAAAAACTTACCCCCAAACTCTCATATCTCTCCATCCTAATTCTCTGGCGTATCCGAAAAGGGCCGAACACAAAATAAACAAACAACTAAAGAAAAGCCTCAAGCCAGGACTTTGCCAGCACCACTTTGACGCAGAATCTCAAAGGCCCCGGCCTTTTTTCTCTTGCTTGCAGACAGTGTGGCAGAACTAGTAGCAAAGGAAAGCGGGCTGCACATTTCTTGCTGTCTCTCCATGGCTGGGCCCTTTCTCAATTTCTCAGCATTGGAGGACATGCGCTGAAGCAGAAGCGAGGTCAGTAGATATCCCGGACCAGATATCCATCACCTTTGAACCTTTTTTCGCAGGGGGGGGGGGGGTGTTTGTGTGCTGGAATCCCCGTTGCTGAAGACAGCAGGCGGGAAGTACGACAAGAAGGACTTCTCAGGCTGCGTTGCCAACTTTCTGGACCACCTGCCATTTCGCATTCAGGGCTTGGGTCTGCGTGAGCAGCTTTCCTGAAGAAGCAAGGTTGAAGCCATGACTATTGAACAGGCCGTCCTGTGTTGTCGCCCGAAGCGCCACAATCACAGGACTTTCCAATTCCTCATTCCCCACCGTTGGCATGACAGGTATGACAGGTATGATTATGACATGATGATGATGGTGATGATGATGGTGAAGGTGATGGTGATGATGGTCATCATCATGATGACCCCCTGTTACGACTGTTGTGTTTATGATCCGTTATGCTGGACAGACCTGCACAGTCTCAGTGCAGGACTTTAGCTCTGGAACCTACCGGGGCTGCCGCTTCTACAAGGCCGGGGGGCGGGGGGGGGTTTAGGCCCGGCCTCAAGGAAGGCCCAAAGTTGCAGGTTTAGGGTTTAGGAAGTTTGGGGTTTAGGGTTTATTGAAAAGAAGCCGCAAGATCTGTGGGCACCGCTCTTCCCCTGTTTCTCCCTAGCAGAAGTTCCTTGAACCACGCCCCTGCGACAAGCAGGCAGCAAAAGACATGGCATCCTAAACCCTAAACCCCTAAGCCCCTAAACCCCTAAAATGTGAGGGGCAAGAAGGCAAACATAGTGCTGACACGAATGACGTGGATGAATTCAGATGGTGCTTCGGCTCTAGGCCGTACTGTTTGGGTTGCTGGGCTCGTGTGAGTGAGTCTGGGATTGCTGTTCAGAATGTCTTTGGGCTAGTGAATGTGCTAGCTCTGGCTGGTGAATACGCTGGCTACCGCCAATGCGCGCTCATGGTACTCGAATCCTCGCCTGGCTTGTCCTAGTTGTGAGTGCTGAAACCCCTAAAACCCCTAAACCCCTAGACCCTAAACCCCTAGACCCTAAACCCCTAAACCCCTAAAACCCCTAGACCCTAAACTGTGCTTGGGAGGCGGATTTGGGAGGCTCCGACTTCACCAAGGCGCCTTTGCCCCCGGGGACCCACATCGACATAGACGTGGCTCAAGCAGGTAGAAGTAGGGTTTTTAGAGTTTTTAGGGTTTAAGGGGTTTTCAGGGGTTTAGGTTTTTAGGGTTTCGGGTTTAGGGTTTAAGGGAAAGCCCGGCTAAAGCCAGCTTCAGATGTCCCAAGATCCTTCATGTCTTTGGGATGCTTTTGGTCGAGAGTTTGCGAAGGGTGGTAGGGGCCTTCACCCGGCGAAGCTGCAAGTCATAGGGTTTAGGAAGTTGCAGCAAAGAGATCAGAAAACCCTAAACCCGAAAACCCTAAAACCCGAAAACCCCAAAGCCCCCTAAGCCCCCTAAGTCCCCTAAACCCCTAAGCCCCCAAACCCGAAAGGCAGACATGACGGGTGCGGGCTTGGAGATGGCGAACCTCGACGACGTGATCTTGGAGGGAGCTCCCTGTCAGCTACACCCGGAAACTCCTTGCTGTGCTGGATTTTGCTGTATGTCTATGCTCTCTAACAGGCGAGCTGGATTCTGGGTCCGGGCGGTCATCTACAGAGAAATCCAGCAGTAATTCCTGCAGGCTGCCAAAACGGCTAAAGGACAGCAGCATGGAATCCTGGAACCCTAAACCCGAAACCCAATTCGTTTGGACATGGCACCTAAGCTGTTCTGGGTACAGCCTTTGGCCTTGGGTAACCCTAAACCGTGCAGCATAAACCCTGGCCCCAAACTCTAAACCCTAACAGTTTATGATATAGATCCTGCATTACCTTAAGGACCAAAAACTATGGGAATTATGGTATATTCAGTATATTCCTTAGTATGGGGAATGCAGGATTTTTATCATCAGCCGAATATCATGTACACACTACTACAGCTACAGCAGACTGCTCCAAACCCGGGAGGCAAGATGTTCCGGGGTCACCAGGATCCGAGCGCATTTTGCCTCCCCTATAGGGGCTGAGTAGGTAGAACCATTTTACCTTTTGGGGGTTAAGGTGCTCAGCCCCTAAGCTCCAGTCTTAGACCAAGGCAAACCTGGAAGGGGCTTACTTCAGCGAGTCCATCCTGAAGGTCAAGAGCCTGAAGGTGTGGGGGATTCATGCTTGGATCTCTCACGTTTTGGAGTTTCTGAGTTCAGAAGACTGGTGGGATCGTGATTCTTGGGTTTTTCTCGGGCTAGATTAGATCGATGTAGAAGGATCACCTTACTTAGCAACTTGCTCGTTCCACTTAACATGCACAGTTGCAAGTTGCATTCTGTCTATATGCGGGAGCCGGATGAACTGTATCCACAATAGTGTTTAGTCACTAGCGCATACATTGCTCCTGCATGAAAGTCTTGACAGTGCTTGCCCTTCTCTGAAAAGCTCACAGAGGGCTCCGGCTCTCGGGTTCTGCAGGACGCAGTGCTCACCGATGCGATGATCCCACCAAAGGCAGCCTGCCTTTGGCATTGCAAGCGATGCCACTGTTGGTCAGAAGCAGTAGTAGACCATGCCCCAGGATTCGTCGTCCTAGACTCTAGACCTAAACGCCCAGACCACCGAAGTTTTGAGAGGCCGAAAGAGACGCGTTCAAGCAACAAGCAAGAAGCTCGTTTGGAGGTCCTGGACCAGCTCTGCAGTCGGCCAGACGTGTCGCTTAGCAAGAAGTACGGTTCAGGGACGTTGGTGCTTCTTGTGGTCAGAGGTGTTTCTAGCTTTTGGGATTTGAACTTTTGGGGGCTTCTTGCTGTTCTT